AAGTTTAAACAAAATAAATTCATTGTTTTTGAAATTATAATACTATACCTGACTTAGATATATATCTATATATATATATCTATATATCTAAGCCAGGAAACAAAATCATATCTTTATGAAATTCAAATGACTAATTAGTATATGGTTACATATTGGACTGATATCTACAACAGTCAGTTTCTTATTTTCTTAACGTTGAGCGACATCTAGCACCCAAAAAATGATTTTCAGTACCTACGTATAGATAGGTTCACATTAAGTTGGTTTACGTAATATCAAATTATTTATTTTAAATTAATTATTTATTAAATTATTATTTATTATTAACAAAAGTACTGATTCGACCGATTTGCAATAAAAGATGATTACTTTATTACAAAAAAATTGATAATTGCCTCTTGAAATATGCCACGCCAGAAAGTGGCAAAACTGGTGGTAGTGGCAAAAAAAAAATCCCGATATGTTTATTATTTAACTAAGTTTTCTTTAGTTATGGCTTAACATCATGCTGTTTAACCATACCATTATATAAAATAATTTCCTTTGAACTTTCATCACGTCATAAACCCACGGGCACCATTCAATATCTATTAACTCTGTTTAAGGCTTCTGTAGTTTATTTTAATATAATAATATACCGAATATATTTTATTCAATTATGTAAAACCTAACCTCTAAAACTTCAAACTGGAATATCTTTAATTCCAGACTTCTTAGAATAGTAAACCCAAAAATCTATTTTTTTCAGTAATTAAAACTCTATATTTTCATATTTTTTTCATAAACATACGTCAACAAAAATTTATATGGTAGTACGCCATTGTTCTTTGTTATTCTCGTATTGTACAGTCATAAATTATAAAGAGTTACTTGTACAATACTAACAACCTCGTAATATTACTAACATCATAAAGAACATTCTTTGTCCCATGACTTTTGGCAATTCCTCAAGTATTAATAGTCATACAAAAATAAAAATATTTGAAAAGATCGATCTACACAGCGATTGCTTAGTGGAAAACGCTGGATGGAGGTGGGGATCGTTAGGGACATTTACACGTTTGAACTGACTACTTGAGTGTTTTATTGTATGTCATGCCATTTTAGCATTACTTAAGCGACCTTAATAGATCTTTGCATTAATAATTATTACAAACTGTGGAGTAATTTCACAAAAAATATATAAATATCATGGTGGAGAAACATCCTGGCATTTAATAAAATACTTAATTACAAGTTAATAGCGACATCTCTAGCCATGGCTGGTAGCTGTAAAGGTGCCAGTTACGCACCTTTATTCAATTATAATAGTGTGTGAGCCGTTTCGGTAACGCTCGTGCCATCTATATGGTGCAAACAACAAATTTAAACACTTTTACGTAATTTTAAACTTAATATATTAATAGTATAATCTTTATATATCAATAGGTAATCTTTACGCTTAACTAACTTTGTTGAATTAGTAAGGAAAGAGTCGGCAGTCGGTATTTTACTAAGTACCTTATATATAAAAATATGGACAGGTGTGTAGCTTACCATCATTCACACTACTTGTTATAAAAACTCCTAATAGCGCTTAGTTGGTATAGCGTCTGATGAATGAATCCGGCCGGATCGAAGGTATTTTTTCGGAGTATTCGATCTTTGCATGAATAATTATAACAAACTAGTGGAGTAATTACACATAAAAATAATTGAATATGAATTCAATAAAAAAATTCATATAATGAATAGCGACATCTCTAGCCGGGGCTGGTAGTTGTAAAGGTGTCTAACTGGGTGACGAAATACTTTCCTTGATATCTCATAGATGGCGGTACGGCTAAAAAGTCGTTAAAAATCAGATACAAAGATCCGACAACAAGCACATAGAAAAATTCGTCAGGTCCGCTGGTTCGTTCCGTTGCTTAGTTAGCATAGCGTCTGGCACGGTCTGCTAGAAGACGTCTTATTGGAATTTTTTCTAATTGTTCGATCTTTGTATTAATAATTATCACTATTACCAAATACAGATTTAAAAAGTGTCATACATATCGTGACCATTATTTTTTTCCTTCAAAACGGGACACCTGTAAGTTTATTAACGTTTTAGAAATAAAACACTTGTTTATGATAGTTTTGAAATGTTTAATGATTAGAAAAAATTAAAAAGGAACTAAAAAATTTTAACGATCGAAAATTTAAAAAAGAACTAATGTATAAACTACACAGTCTGGTTGGCTTACTTTGTATATTTTGCGGATTAACAAATTTGCTTCAATATGTCAAGTTTAGTTCTTAAATAAGACTGTAACCATTGGCGTAATTTTCAAATTTATATGTCATGTATGTCGTGTTATGTCAAAGAGGGACATTTTTAAGTATTTCGAGGAAAGCGGGACACGAAGCTTAAAAGCGGGACTGTCTCGCTCAAAGCGGGACATATGGTAACGTTAGTCATATAGTACAAAAACAATTTAAAAGTTTATTTTTGTCACGTTTATTATGTTTTGTCAAAAGTCATGGAACAGAAGTTGTTGTTTATGATGTTAGTGATATAGTCCTGCCACCAAACCGTTGGGCCATCGAGAATATCAAAGATGTCACGCGAAAACGCCATGGACAGTTGACGGGGAGGTTCCGCGGTAGGACCAATTTGAGAATTGAACTTTTCTAAATTGATTCTGGTCTGGGTGTTCTGGCTATTATTCCGGAGTCAAGTCCGTTGCTCTGATATTCGTAGTACAGGAAATTCCCTATTTGAGTCCTGGAAATTGGTGTAGTTGTACGGCACGTTGTTATTATTCTTAAGTGTCAGTGTAGGTTCTCCTGTGTAGAAAGATTTATAAGATTTATTTTGATTGAATTACTATTACTATTGTTCTTACATAGACGCCAGAGAAACTCTTATAAGAAATAAGTTAGGAACAGTAACCTCGAATCTAACCTTCATAGAAAATTTAGTGCCTGCCAGTGCCTGGGGGAAATTAGTACTGTAATTGAAAACAATGACAATGAATCCGTTTTTATTAGAGGATTTTAATGCACACCCGAACGAATTATTTTGGAATGAACTGACAAGTTTCTGTACATATCAAGACTAGGTGTGAGCAGATACGGAAAAAATTAGTACACAAATAAGTAACACATATTCGTTTTAATTATTACCCTCAACCCTCAGAAAAATTTCCTTCGATCCGGCCGGATTCGAACCGACGTCTTCTAGCTTACCGTGCCAGACGCTATACCAACTAAGCCACGGAACGAACCAGCGGACGTCACGAATTTTTCTATGTGCTTGCGTCGTGTCTTTGTACTTGGTCTTTCAACCACTTTTTAGTCGAAGCGCCATCTATGAAAGATTTATCACCCAGTTAGTACCTTTACATCTACCAGCCCTGGCGAGAGATATCGCTATTCACTGTATTTTACATTTTTATTGAATTGATATTCAATTATTTTTTGTGAAATTACTCCACTAGTATGTTATAATTATAAGAGAAACACCATAGGGTAGTGAGATAAGTCGTGTGTCTCAAGTTATGCACCTGGGTTACTGGTTAACTGATAACTTGTATGATAGTGCCGACATGGAGGGGGCACAGAAGGGCCCTGTCTGTTAGATGTAACATGCTCGCCCGCAGGTTTGCTCGTTGCACAAATGATGGAAAGATCCCATTATTTAAAGCATATTGCCAAAACTTTTACACATGTAGCCTGTGGGTGAAGTATACGCAGAGACCCCTGAATACATTAAGGGTGCAATATATACGCTTTTAGGATCCTAATGGGGTCGCGACATTGTAGTGCATCTATGTAAGATTTATGTTCACGGAAGCGCACAAAGGCTTTCATGCCATTATGCGCAAGAAGGCTGCCTCACTCATGATGCGTGTGCGCGGCAGCGCTAACAGCATCCTAGCCGTTGTTTCCAACAGGCTGGACAGCCCCTACCAAGTACATTGGGTGCAGCTACACGTGCGTAGGGTAGTCTAAAAGTGGCATTTCACTAGAATTAAGTAATTTTGTATTGTACTAACATAGCACGTAAGAAAAATTTACTGTATCACTAATATTACTATGGACCATGGTCCGAAATGATGGTACCACGATTTCGTTTAACCAAGGTAAACAACTCTTTTATGGG